TTGTCCCATTGCCAGTGCCTTGTTGTTCCGTCCATTGTCGGTAAGCACCATTCCCACTCATCCCCAATTCTCCATTCTCACTCCGTACAGGGCTCTTCCCCTTTAATTGCAGTCGCTGTTTCACTGCGCAACTTTGTGTTGAGAATGTCAGAGGGGGGTGCCTTTCTCTGCTCGACTTCGACCGGGTTATCATAATGTGCCTGGTAGTATCCTCAGGGGGCGATTCATCCTCGTTCTCATCGTCCTCGTTAGACTTTATTATATTCCGTTTTCCCTCCGGTTCCTCAAAAAACTTGTAAGAAAAAAAATACCGCCCGGCCCCCCTCCCTGCGTAATTACACCGATGGAGCCTCTATTGACAGCTCCTCCCTCCCGGACCGACAACAGACTAACTTCATCGGACAACTGCGGCTAGGTTTGTCACAACCCGCCGGGAGCAGACTCTTTTTGGGACGGAATGGAGATGGAGTGGGGCTTGAGGAACCGGAGGGAAAACGGAATATAATAAAGTCTAACGAGGACGATGAGAACGAGGATGAATCGCCCCCTGAGGATACTACCAGGCACATTATGATAACCCGGTTGCAGTCGAGCAGAGGAAGGCACCCCGCTCTGACATTCTCAACACAAAGCTGTGCAGTGAAACAGCGACTGCAATTAAAGGGGAAGAGCCCCATACGGAGTGAGAATGGAGAATTGGGGATGAATGGGAATGGTGCTTACCGACAATGGACGGAACAACAAGGCACTGACAATGGGACAATGGCAGAAAACATCCTGAGTGGAAGAGAGAGCGTGGAAACGAACAGTAGATCATTCAGGAGAACTCACGGGAAGGAGGAGGGGAGGAGGAATAGCATGGGTTGTGACTATGAGCCTGCGTTACAACCCCGAGGGATAGATAAACAAGATCAAAGTGGTCTTGGGGCTTGCAGGGATATTGGAAGCAATTTAAATAATTGCCCACCCCTGCTCCTTAAGGGAAGCCGTGTGTGGGATGGTGGGGGAGTTATGATCAGGGGAGGAGAAAAGATCCTGACCCCCAACCGGACCAACCCTGAAACAGCTAACGGAGTAACGTATGACAGAATGCAAATTAGCAATGGAAAGAGGATAGGTGCTGATGTGGGGCGTGTGCTTGGGACTCAACTTGATCAGCTGGGGCCGATGACACGCTCCAGGAGCCGGAAACAGGCATTAAACAACTGTATATAAGACTTCCCCCGGCGTTTGCCTTTTAACCCTGACGATGTCAAATGTATTTGACAAAAGCTTGGTGGATTAAATTCTATTTTTGATAGATATTCTCTTGGTGATCATTATTTTGACAATATGAATACTCCCAAGAGTCGCATTTTTGTTTTTATTTCTAATCATATATATATATGTATAGTTTTAAAAAAATCTCCTTGATAAAACTTCTTTGGAAGGAAAAACAGTGGAAGCAAGTGGGAAAAAGACAATAGGATTATTAACATTATTGTCGGAGCTTCTCTTAAAGTTATGTGCTCATATGAGGCAAGAGGATTGTGCAGCACAAAGTCTCCTCTGGAAATACCCTGGCTATTATGAAAATGAAGCATTGATTCTTTAGCAGGCAAGGAATTTATCATCCTGTTAAAAACTGCAGAACTTAGCTGGGGCTAGATAAGATAATTGGGGGTCTCAGTCTGTTAAGATGACCCAGAAATAGCAGCTATTCTTAGTCATGGAACAAGGCAGTTGCCTCAGACCAATTACAGCTGTTGGTGTCTGTATATGCTTGTGCATGGTCATGCACACACACAGAGATAAGCGGTTAACTTCTTAAGCCTGTCGGTGGCTTAAAAAGAGCTTTCCACTGTAAAGCAAATTACACTGATAGAAATATTCAAATCTGCAGTGACTTTGTATCTATCTGTTCTGCAACTTCATTTTTTAGTTTAATAAATTTGTAAAAATTATGTTGTCTGCAGAAACTCTGTTTAATAGGTTAAAATGCCTCACAAGAAAGCTCATGTTCATGCTAAACCGAGCAAGTACATCATTGGCAAATAATGAATAACTTGGGAAATATACCATGCCCTTTTCTTTCTTTAGACTTAAATAATAATAATAAAGCTCAACTGAAGAAAATAAAATCTTGATAGAGATCCTTATCACCTAACTATAGTGGTTAATACCAGAATGAACCCGCAGAGGGCAGGCTTTCACAAGAAAATTGCTCAAGTATGTATGAGCCGGAAACCTAATTAGTTGAACAGACTCTCTCTTACTTTTTTTGAAGTTGAAAGTGAGGAGATACATTAAGAGGCCCTTGATATAAGTACTTTTTGTGGAGGTGGCAACCAGGAGCAGCAGAGAAAGACTTTTCAAATATTAAAGATAACACTGGCCTGGGAAAATGCCCCGATTTAGAATTATATATCTTTCCTGGCTGCATTTTAATCCAGGATTTTAGCTTTACCAGTTTATCCAGCAGCCTCACCCAACCGCTTGATGAATGTAGCTTGTAGCCTTTTTGTAGCTGTTGCTAAATAAGACAACAAATCAAAATGTTTTCAAAACTAAAGGGATGGAAATGCACCAATATGTACCCAGCCATCACATCTGAATGTCACATCTCTTCAGAAGCCTTGACCAAACAGCAAGGCCATGGATTTGAAAAATACAGCCCAAGGACTTGTCCACCTCCTACCAAAGAATGACTTCATGATCTTAAATAATGCCAATGGCTAGAGGTCTGTGGACTCTTTGACAGTAGTGAAGTACTGACATTTGCCACAAGGAAATCCTTAAAAAGTCTCTTACCTCTGCTTGGTTGTGTTTACTCTTTGTGTTCTGCTCATGCTGCTATGACTATGCTGGCATTTCTTCTCTAGAACTTTCTCATAAATCTGGGGTTTTCCCATGATTTATGAATAGTAAGTGCAACTCAGTCCAAAGTCTTCATTGTCACTCAGTTCAGCCAGGAGCTTCTCAGTTTAATTACACACCGGAACTTCAAGGAAACCCTAAGCTCTCTCTGAAACCCTGCTTGGTCTATAAGGCACCTGGGCTGGACTGATCAAGCAGGTCCTTTCTCCTTTTAGTAGAAGTTAGCAACAGAGAACTCCAAGACTAACATGTGATCTGTCCATGACAAGGCTAATAGTAACACTACCCAATTCCATATCACTTTGGTACTACCTGAGATAAAAACCAGAAGTAGCATGTGGCACAATTGCGCATGCACACACACACACACACACACACACACACACACACACACTCGCCTTATTCTTTACAATTAGTATCTCAGATGTGAGGAGAAGGTCCCCTTCCCTGCAGTAAGAGAAGGGCTTTTTCTGTTCCTTGTGATTCACAAGGGTAAAATCAGGTAGAGAATTGGGAAGAGAAGCAAATGAGGGCAATGGGAAGAAGGAATCCTGCCAGATGGATGTGTATTGTAATTGCATGCTAGATCTTATTAGAGGGTTGTTGTTATCTGACATTAGTAGAGTGGAGTGGAAGAGGAGAGCTAGGCAGCCCAGGGGAGTGAAGATAATAGGGAGGAAAGTGGTTATGGCAAGAAGAGGGACATATAACGGGAGGAAAAGAGGTTGAGTATCTGGTTGTAATCTCTAGTTCCAGATCCCTGTCTCAGTTCGTGAAGAAGGCATCCAGTTCACTGGGTGTGCTTATTTCTGGTTAATGGTTCTGAATGCTAGGTATATCTGTAATACATTTAATTTTATCTGTAATTAAATTGTGGATAAGAGATCAGATCTGGTGTGCACTACTGAGACCTGGCTGAATAAGATGTGAGGAGTCTCCTTTATGGAAATCTATTCAGTCAGATTTCATATAGTCATCCCTCTTGATTTCAGGGTAAGTAAGATAGCTTGGAAATGATTTATCATGAGACTCTAGCCTTTGAAAGACCATTTTTCTTGAGTAGGCCAGATATGAGTTGTTTGATCACACTGCAGTAGATTTATCCAAAGTGTTAGTACTGGGCAATTTTAGTCTCCCTTCTCTGATAATTGAGATGACTTCTGAATTCATGGCCATAATAATAAACATGGATTTGCCCAGATTGTCACTGTTACAACCCCAAGAAGCTGACCATCTACCTGGCTTTTATTTTAGAGCAGTTGAGGCAAGATCTAGTACTGGGAGACTTTTTCATTACTCACTTGTTATGGACACTTCATCCGGCCCATAACATTAACTGGAGATCCTAATTCTTGCAGATAGGAAGGGCCAATTACAATAGCCTGCCCCAGATTTTGATGGACTTGGAGGAATTCCAGACAGCATTTGGGGAATTGCTTAAATATCAGGAGGCTAGGTTTATTAAATGGCTTGTCTGGAATATGAGAGTGAGTAGGGTACTAGATAGATTGAGCAGCTTCTCGTGGCTTGTCAATTTTAGACTGTTCCTTGATTCTTTGAGGTGCTTTGGGAGATGAAGTGAGTGAACAGGTGCATGAGAAATTGTTACAACTGTACAGGTATAGAGCTTTAATTAGAGCTTTTATATTTATGGTGATAAAGATGGCTCTGTGGGAATACTTTTCAGTCCTCATTGTATTTTCAGATAGTTAGCTTGATGTACTCATTAGTGTGTTTCAAACCCTTCTTGGCCAGCAAACTCCATTGAAATATGTTCTAATTTTCTGGGCAAACATTTTATGGTTAAAATAACTCATCTTAATTCTGAATAGAAAGTTGGGTGGACAGAATCCAAAGAAGTGACAAAAGTGATGTAAGCAGTATTATTTGAAAGTTTTAGAGCTTGTAGATCTCAAGAAGTAAAAACATATGGTCTAAATCCCATCCCCCATATGTCTAACTAAATTTTGAATAGCTGACATAAAGGAACTAAACTTGGTACCCCATGAGCATCACAGCTTAGTGGAGATTTGAATGCTAGTCTTCCCAGTCCCAGCTGAGTTGTCAAAACTTGCTCTATTGTTTGAATATTGCAGATGTATAATATATCTCCAATGTCTTCTTCCTTCCCTCCCTTTCTGCAGACTTTGCATATAATTTGTCTTCGCAGCCTGAACTATTAAGGATGGCCAACTTCACCAATGGCAATTTCACCAAGGAAAACACCGCTAAGTATAAAATCGTGGAAATGATTTTCATAGTTACTGTAACTGGGTCACTTAGTCTTGTCACTGTGGTTGGAAATATCTTGGTCATGCTGTCCATCAAAGTGAACCGCCAACTTCAGACCGTCAACAACTATTTCCTCTTTAGCCTGGCCTGTGCTGACTTGATAATTGGCATCTTCTCAATGAATCTCTACACCGTGTATATTGTCAAGGGCTATTGGCCACTTGGGGCTGTAGTATGTGATCTCTGGCTGGCGCTAGACTATGTAGTGAGTAATGCCTCTGTCATGAACTTACTCATCATCAGTTTTGATCGCTATTTCTGCGTTACGAAACCATTGACCTACCCAGCTAGGCGGACAACCAAAATGGCTGGACTGATGATTGCAGTGGCTTGGATATTATCCTTTATCCTCTGGGCACCTGCCATATTGTTTTGGCAGTTCATTGTTGGAGAGAGGACAGTACCAGAAGGACAGTGCTACATTCAGTTCCTCTCCAACCCGGGTGTAACCTTTGGCACAGCCATTGCTGCTTTCTACCTCCCAGTGGTTATCATGACTGTGCTGTACATCCACATCTCATTGGCCAGCCGGAGCCGTGTGAGAAGGCACAAACCAGACAGTAAGAAAGAGAAGCGGACTAAGCCACTCAGCTTTCTGAAAAGCCCTCTGGTCAAGCAGAATAACAACAATTCTCCCAAGAAAGTGGTGGAGGTGAAGGAGGAAGCAAAAAATGGGAAAGTAGAAGAGCAGCCCCTGCAACCATCTGAAACTACTGGTCACCAAGAGGAGAAAGAAACCTCTAATGAATCCAGCACAGTAAGCATCACCCAGACAAATAAAGAGAAACAAGGGCTGGAGATTGTACCAGCCGATACAGGCGAGAGCCCTGCCCATCCTCGGATCAACCCTGCCTCTAAGTGGTCCAAAATTAAGATAGTCACTAAACAAACTGGGAGTGAATGTGTCACTGCCATTGAGATTGTCCCAGACAAAGAAGCCCGTTCTACCCCAATTACCTTATCAAACAGCCGTCCAGTTAACGTCGCCAGGAAATTTGCTAGCATTGCCAGGAGTCAGGTTAGAAAGAAGAGACAAATGGCAGCTCGGGAGAAAAAAGTCACCAGAACCATTTTTGCCATCTTGTTGGCTTTCATTTTGACATGGACACCTTACAACGTGATGGTCCTCATTAATACTTTCTGCAACTATTGTATTCCTGAAACAGTCTGGTCCATTGGATACTGGTTGTGCTATGTCAACAGCACCATCAACCCAGCTTGTTACGCCCTTTGCAACGCTACCTTCAAGAAGACCTTTAAGCATCTTCTTATGTGTCAGTACAGGAACATTGGTACCGCAAGATAATCTGGATTTGGTAGGGGGTGCTCAGCAATGGGGTTTTGTGTGGAGATTTGTTATTCTCCGACCAGATAAATCTATTATTCTTAGTCATACCATTAATTACTAGATGGAGCCTTTCACCAAATGCAGAATCAGAACCAGTGAAACATACTCTTTCAACTTACTTGGCTCTTGAATATTCACCAAGAAATAGGCAGAGATTCCACCCAGATGATTCTCTTGACTGTGCTTCTTCAGAAAACAAAGAAGAAGGAAGCTAGGGATTAGATATGGTTTCGCCAAACAGACAGACCTTGCTCTTTGCCCTGCTGCTCTTGATACATCATAAACTTTCATGATCTTTTAATTTCTGTCTGACTAAACTAGGATGCCTCTATTGGTGGCTGGGTGGTACATTAGAAAAGAAATGCAACAAAAAAGATCCTTCTTTCCTTGGATGCATTGCTGGCTTTATACTTGCGTGCTCATATGAGACAGAAAGAGCAGCAAGGAACAACAGGGTTAATTAATTAACGCAGTGAAAGTGAAAACAAAAACATATTATTTCAGTACCAGTCATCAAGCTGTATCAATTTCTATTTGTATGTTCTTGGACTTTGTCTAGTTCAGGGGTCCTCAACCTTGGCAATTTTGAGACTTGTGGACTTCAACTCCCAGAATTCCTCAGCCAGCTGAGGAATTCTGGGAGTTGAAGTCCACAAGTTTCAAAGTTGCCAAGGTTGAGGACCCCTAGTTTAATTGAATTTCCAGTGTCCCGGATGCAAGGGGCTTGTTCCTCTCAGGGAATATATCAGTTGCTGGAGAGATCTGTCTGCTTCATAGGCTTCTCAAGGGCCTTACCAAATCTGCCTCAACTCCATTTCTCCATGGCAGGCTGTTGGGCCAAACAGACTTCTTTCAGGATGGGTTGAATGACACCTCAGATTGTTTGGAAAAAAAAAACATGGATATCACATGGATACCCAAAGTCAGTTCTGCAATATTTTGGGTCATGTGCCAAAGCCATCTAAAGTTATTGATCTCAAAGGTAAGCATGGCGTCCTTGAGGCAGTGGATGCTTGACAGCAGCTCCAGGGAGAAGAACGAACAAAGCAGCCATAACGGTAGAAGAAGATCTCTACGCCAGCAAGTCTTTTCTAAGGGAGTCTTTAAAGCAATGTTTCTCAACCTCAACAACTTTACGATTTGTGGACTTCAAGTCCCAGAATGCCTCAGCCAGCATGCTGGCTGGAGAATTCTGGGAGTTGAAGTCCACACATCTTAAAATTGCTGAGGTTGAGAAACACTGCTTTAAAGCCCTTCATTTTTGTTCCTTTTAAAATTATGCCACCATGCATACCAAGCCCCCCTTGCTCCACATATATTTGTTTAAGTGTCATTTCTTTTTATGTACTTAATTTTTTAAAAAAAATCTGATAGTAGATTCTGAAGCAGGCTGTGGAGGAAAGAAACAAGGAGTGGCTGCCCCACTTGTTTCTGCACTATGTATTTGAGGGACTACTAAGAAAATACTCATGAGCTTTGTAAATGAGCATTGCCTTCCTTCTAGTCAGTGTTGTCATAGGAGCCCTCAGCATGTGGGTTCCAGTGTACATATACAGCCTAAATCCCAGAATACTCATGTTCCGTGTAGACCAATTAAACCCAAGTTTTGCTCAGTGTCTCTGGCACCCTCAGGAGCATATTAGAGCAGAGTATAATCACTGGTCCAATGTTTCCTGGGTTGGTCGGAATGACCACAGCTATAGACCTCTCTATTTCATGGCTAAGGGCTCTCAGTTTAAGAGTTGCCCTTACATTTGGCCAAAGGCTCCTGCTTCATGTGGCTGTAGAGGCAGCTAGGCTGCCACTGCCTTTCAAATAATTTGCATAATGTTGCCCAAAATGCCTTGCAGTGTTTTTTAAAAATTAATTTATTTATTTGTTACAACTACAGTGGGAACCACTTAAATAAAATAATTGAACTATATATAGCACATTGGTCATTCTCTTTTCAACTAGTTGCAAATATTCTTCTCCTCCACAGAGAATCATTTAAGATATTAGGGATTAAACTTGAAACTCTACTCAAGATTTTGTGAATTGAGAAGTCTCAAGATGAACTACTAGGGAGTGTCCCCCAATCTAGTCATCTCTGGATCTGTTGGCCAGAATTCCCAGTCAATTCAATGTATTCCTAGGGGATCAAATTAGAACACTTCTGATTTAGAATATTTTAAATAACTATTAGGATGATGTAAACCTGGTCAAATTGTAAAGCTATATAACATGTAAAATAAAGTTATGGTAATCTAGAATAAGAAATAGTTATTGTTTAAGATACTTAAAGATTACTTGCCCAGAGTTAACTTATCCTAAAATACAATTTTGGAACTAGTATGACACAATAGGAAATTAAGAGTGCACTGTCATATACCTGTATTGCCACAAGAAATTAAGACAATTTGACAGGCCTAGCACATCATTGAAATCTGGACTGTAGGTTAAATTGTGGTTAAGGAATATATTAACCACAATTTTAACAATGTTTTGTTAACCTTCTTTCCTTGTGTTTTCTGGACCTAGACATCAAGATTAATTGCTTGTAAACTTTGGTTCTGGTAAGGTGACCAACTGTCCTCCTTTAGGAAGGACAGTCCTCCTTTTGTAAGTTCTGTCCTCTCTCGAAAAGTGTCCTTCTACATGTCCTCCTTTTCGATATTTGAAGACTAATCTGTAAATCTCCGTATTCGATCGATGCCGATCCGTTCTGTTGTGTTTGATGTGACGTATTTGTTTTTGACATGACGATTTGTCAAGGCTCGGTACAGTGGGGTGAGACGCGATTATGAGACGCATGCACTCAGCATAGGAGAATTGTTTTGAGAGAGTGCGCCACGTGCAAGAGTGTGCCGCACGCAAGTGGCTTTGTTTACTTCTTACCGAAACACGACACGTCTCACACACACATGCATTAGACTCACTTTTTTTTCCTTCAATTTATTTGTGTCCTCCTTCTCATTGTAAAAAAGTTGGTCACCTTAGTTCTGGCCTCCACACTAAGAGGTGACTAGAATGGTCGCAAAATGGCACTGCTCAAGTTGTATCCACATATTTTAACAAAACAGTTAAAGCAAAAGTTTCAGCTGGTCAGACACTGCCCAGGTAGTTGTGATACCTTTTGTGCATGAAATAAGGCATACCAGCTTTTGTGCATGAAATAAGGATGACATTTTCACCTTGCCCCAGAGTGCATTTGTAAGAACGTCCTGCTGTGAATGTAAATCAAACAAGACACCAGGAACGCTACAGTAATCAACGAGAATTTATAGCTCAAAATTGAAAACAAAGTCAGCTCTGACAAATCCCCTCCCCATCGCCCTATATACATCCCGTCACCACACCCACCGTGCACGCCCTAATTATCTCAATTACTCCTATAAGGTACCGCCCCACCCACATCACACCGCACCCTGTCTCCCCACGCGTCGGCCATTGTCTCTATAGAAGAGTGCTACAACTACGTTTCCTTCCCCCCCGTCCACCCAACAATTATATCCTGTCAGACCCAGTGGTTCAGTTCAGCGTGTCTGTCCAACACAGTTCCAATCCATTCCCTGCTCTTCCAGCATTTCGGTTCAGCGTGTCTGTCCAACACAGTTCCAATCCATTCCCTGCTCTTCCGGGTGTCCGAGTGGTCACGTGATCCGTTCGTCATTGCGGAAGCGCCGGCAGCACTCCGGCAACGGCGCCGCTAATCCCACACACGCAGGAACGTTTGGAGGCACCCTGGACCGTTCAGCGTCAGCAGGTAGGATTCATGCTGGGTCTGACATTCGGCTCCCCCTCACCACAGAGCCCCCTGCAATGGAACACAAGAAATCACTTATATCCTCTGACCCCTTCCGGTATTGTTATCTGTCGCCCCTTTTCTTTGGTCTCTGTGGCCATGTCTTGTGATACCGGCGGATTAGGACCGGGGCACAGACATCCTCCCTTCGTACCCAGGAAGCATCGGATAAAGGGTATCCCTTCCATGATACCAGATAATATAGGTTACCCCCCCGCCACCGTGAGTCTAGTATATCTTGGATTTCATATCGTCCCGGAGTGATGGGTCCCGGTGGGTCTTTATGGGGGTCCCCCTTTACAGGCTTTAACAGACTTACGTGGAAGACCAGGTGTATCTTACCAAGCATTTCCGGCAATTGCAGTTGCACCGTAACAGGGTTGAGGATACGTACTATGCGGAAGGGTCCAATGTATTTTGGCGCTAGCTTCTTGCATGGCACCTGTAACTTAATATACTTGGTGGATAAGTATACCTGCTCTCCCACCCGTAATTGGAATGGCATTCTACGGCCTTTGTCAGCCTGCTCTTTCGCTGCCTGTTCCGCCTGCTGCAGTGCTTGTTTTACTTTACCCCATATGTGACCTGCACGGGACAACCAGTCTCCAGTCTGATGTCCCAGGGGTTCCTGCGACTCGCCCCCGGGCAATGGAATTGGGTCATACCCGTAAATTACTTGAAAGGGGGATAATCCCGTGCTTTTGTGCACTGCGTTGTTATACGCTAATTCTGCAAATGGCACAAACTCTATCCAATCCGACTGTTGGTAAGATACATAGGAGCGTAGATATCGCGCAATTGCTGCATTGGCCCGTTCCGCCACCCCATTGGTACACGGATGGTATGCGGAACTTAGTCCTTGGGTGGTTCCGATGATCGCGAGGAATCGGCGCCAGAATCGGGCCGTGAATTGAACACCTCGGTCTGAAATAATTCGACGGGGCGCTCCGTGTAGTCGGTAAATGTGTTGCACAAACAATTTTGCTAGCTGTTTTGCGGATGGTAGTCCCTTGCAGGGGATAAAATGCGCCTGCTTCGAAAATAGATCAACGACCGTCCATATGACCGTGTATCCCCTGACATTTGGTAAATCAACGATGAAGTCCATCCCAACATCCTGCCAGGGTCGAACTGGGTCAGATACCCTTTGTAACAATCCCATCGGTCTTTTTGATACTACTTTCGCCTGTGCACAAACATGGCATTCCTTGACATACCGTTCAATGTCCTTCCTCAAGCTCGGTCACCAGAACTGGCGTCTCGCCAAGTGTAGCGTTTTTACAAATCCAAAATGGCCCGCCACTTTGGAATCGTGGCATTGGTGGTATACCCGATTCCTCAAGTCCTGGGGAACATATAACTTATTTCCATACCAGGCCAATCCATTACGATGGGTTAACAGTCCTGGATTTGCCAGTATCCACGGATCGGTCAACAATACGGATTTTAGTTCCTCCTCGAATGTTACTAATTTTGCGCACCCATCCACCTGTGTTGAATCTATACTATCTGGAGGTATAATAGCCTGGACCACTTGTTTCTGTTTACTATCGTATTGCGGTAATCGGGAAAGTGCATCTGCCAGGAAATTCTTCCCTCCCGGTACGACCTTCAGGTAAAACTTAAAGCGTTGAAAATACTGCGCCCATCTAACGTGTTTCGGCGCCAATTTCCTGGGAGCTTGGAGAACCGCTAGGTTCTGGTGGTCCGTCCATACCTCGAAAGGGTACTGTGCGCCCTCCAACAAATGGCGCTAGGTGGACAATGCCCATTT